AAAATGAATTTTGGAGAAGTGATTTTTGATTTACCTCCAACAGTGAAGCGTAATGTACGAAAGATTGAGAAAATTCGTGTTAGAATTATTAATCTTACTTTTTCGGTCATATTTAATAATATATGTCTACAGGAAAGACTGCTACCAAAATATACTAATATATATATATATATATATATATATATATATATATATATATATATATATATATATATATATATATATATATATGAGCCCTGTGCAGTTGTTGTTAATCTGGTGATTTGTATGCCCCTGCTGTTTGATCTCGAGTTATAACCAGGTAAATTCAGGTAAATGTCTATATAACAATTGGTTTTATTTTGGGTTTGGGAACTATCTCTTGATAGTTTTCCCCCCTTTCCCTTTATTACCATTAATCTTCACACACTCTTGGCGATAAAATTAACGATTGCTTCTTAAGACATTTCGAGTTTGAGGTGACACAGTGAGAAAGGTCACCATCTCAGTCGATTAAGGCAGCGTCTGGGATGCTCTTGGACGCAGGTTCGAATCCTCGTCACGGCCCTTGTGGATTTGTTCATAAGGTCACCATCTCTTAAAATTGTGAAACCCCCAAATTGCCTGCGAAAACGAAGTCTTCTCTGGCTGGACAGTTAAGGGAATAGGTTCATGAGGTGAAAGGGAACTGGCTTGCCTGTCTGATCCCAGACCTGTACCCGTTGGATTGCTTTACTTATTGCTTGCATCTGTGTCTCAATTCTAGCTACAAACACCTCCGCTATGAGCTGGTAAATAGGCTTTGATAATTACCTGAGGTATTTTGATAATCACCCTAATTTATGAACCACAAAGGGAACCTGTGACACCTTGGGAGATTCTGGTCAGACGTGTAGGGAGCAGTTACTTTAATCTTTAAAATAACTGCTTAAAGTACAAGTAAAATTTAAGTTTTTTTTTTTAAGGTAAAGGGTTTAGAGTAAACTTTAAACCTCTCTTGAACTTTAACACTTTTGCATAATTATTAGCTTTCGTAAATGCCAATCAGAGGCTAATTGATACGCAAAGTGCTTAGTTTCACTGTCAAGCTTATTTATCAAAGCTAAGTTAAGATCTTAATTAATGTTCCTTTTTTGCAATGAATGTTAACAGAGTTTAAGCTGTTTGAAAAAGGCGTACCAACGCTCACAGAGTTAAGTGGGGCTGATGTAATCCATTTCCTTACGAGATGGTAAGTCTTTTTCACGGATTAAAATCCCCACACCCCCATCCACCCACTACCCACACCCACACACACACCCGCACACACACCCACACACACACCCACACCCTAACCCGTTCTCGCACTTGCTTCAGTCAATATTGGCTTATTTAATATGTGCATATGTGACATACTAATTGATTGTGAATATTTTAGTTTACCTTGAAAAGCTTCATAGAAAATACCGACCTGACCTAACTTTCTTAGTATGTTAAGATAAGCATCTTATTGCTTCTTAATTACAATTATTACTTAACCTATACCGTTGATAGGTTAAGTAATAATTGTAAATAAGAAGCAATAAGATGCTTATCTTAACATACTAAGAAGGTTAGGTGAGGTCGGTGTTTTCTATGAAGCTTTTCAAGGTAAACTAAAATATTCACAATCAATTAGTATGTCACATATGCACTTATTTAATAAGCCAATATTGACTAAAAGCACGTGCGAGAACGGGTTGCACGCCCACACCCACACCTTGGTCTACCGTGTGCAGTAGACACACTTGCCCGTCACTACATCATTCCCTAATTATTTTTCCTTTCTCTATAACGTATTGAGACTGTAACCTCTTAACTCCGCTAATCTTATCTCCCTTTCATAACCTTTCCTTGACCCTACATGACCCTTACCTCCCCTTCTCCCCCTATTATAGGAGTCGCCCGTCCAGGAATGGGTTCCAAAGATTTCTGGCAATCCAGGAAAATGCCGTCTGTCCAGCCATCTCTTTCCTGTTCGATTGATATCTTGTCATAGAACACTTGGCCAGTTGGTCAAGCAGGATTTTCCTATGCTGAATTCATGTTGATGCTTGGGGGGGGGGGGGGAAATTGTTCTAAATGATCTGTGGGACTTCTTTTAAGGAGTCTCTCTAATATCTTAAAGGAATACTTGTTAGCGATACCAGTCTGTGGTTCAGTGGCTCCTGTCTTCCTCCTTTCTCCCATTTACTCTTTCCGACACTCAGAAAGTTTCTTCATTTGTAGTGAGGAGTTGAGAATAGCATGGAGTCCACACTCAGGCTGAAGCTGCCTCTTTTTAGCATCTACGGTGAGGTCTCGTCAGGGCCTGCGACTGTCCATCACATCCAGCTCCTCTAATGGTCTCTTTACTTCCTCTGGTGTCGCTTCTATTTCGATCAGTCTTTCTTCGTCAGCCACACTTTGTATGATATTTATGGAAGCTCTGTTTGCATTCTTGTCTCGGGTCACCTATGATTCTCTGGGAGGGGGGGGGGTTGTAAATCACCCCCACAACCACTTTTTTCCCCTTTTCTCTGAAATGATTCCTGTGATATAATCTGTGTTATTGGCATCCTCCTCAAAATTGTTATCTTCAAACTCCCTGTCTCTCTTCTTGTTATCAGGTGTTGTCTGGGGAATATCGCATTAATGATCATTTCAGTTATTTTAGTTTCTACTATTGCTATTGCATCAGGGATTGTTCCGTTAGTTCATCCACGTTGACATTCCCTCAGCATTTGTGTACTCTGCTCTATATATTGGCAGCTCTCTGCCTGGGGGTTGGCGCATTAGGTTATTCAGGTAAAGAAGATATGAAAAGGGTGGGAGGAATGATTGGAGTAGAGAGCCTGTGAGTGGCGGACAATGAGGCTGTAGTGATTAGCAGGGTAATTGGTAAAGGGAAAGGAGGGGGGAGGCTTGTTGGTTGGGAGTGGGCTGTGGATATATGCTGTGGAACAGGAATTAATGGGTGTGGAGAGGAGAGTTATGTAAGAGCGTGGGAAAGGGGGGAGTAGATTGGGTGTTGGATGGTTGTTAGGTTTGGGTGAGAGGGGAGGGGGTGGGGAGGATAAGGGTGTGGAGCCTGGGTTAATTTCTCTGTGTGTGTGTGTATGTGTGCACTCACCTAGATGTACTCACCTATTTATACTCAGCCTATTTGTGCTTGCGGGGATTGAGCTCTGGCTCTTTGGTCCCGCATCTCAACTGTCAATCAACTGGTGTACAGGTTCCTGAACCTACTGGGCTCTGTCATATCTACATTTGAAACTGTGTATGGAGTCAGCCTCCACCACTTCTCTTCCTAATCCATTCCATCTGTCAATTACCACCACCTAGCAAGATACCTAGCAAGATTAAGCTAGGCTCCTAGTCCCGTCTTCCCAACGTTCTATGCTTAATGTAATGACTCATTTCTCACGCCTTTATCACATACACATTTAAAACTTTGAATCAAATCAGCTTCTACGACTCGTGCGTCTCACCTGCTCCACTTATTGACAGCTCTGTCAATGAAAAGGTTCTTTCTGGTGTTTCTGTATCTCATTTGCCTCTCTAGTTCTATGACGTATGTCCCCTCGTTCTGCTGGTCCTAGCTTTGAACAATACTTCTTTGTCTACGTTTTCAAATTACCTTAGAACCTTGTATGTCATATACTCTCCCCCCCCATCTCTCTCTCTTCTTCCAGTATGGCAAGGTCCAGTTCTTACTGTCTTTCCTCATACATCAATCCCTTTAGTTCAGGAGCGAGTTTCGTTGTATGTCATTGGAACGTTTCTAGTTTGACTTTGTCCTGTGTGTGTGTGTGTGTGTGTGTGTGTGTGTGTGTGTGTGTGTGTGTGTGTGTGTGTGTGTGTGTGTGTGTGTGTGTGTACACGCGCGCATCTTCAGGGGTCCATCAAGGGTACTGTCATCAAAAGGCTTATGAGGAAGCTTTTTGATGTGAGGCTCTTTATGAGCAGTGAGGCTTCTCATTTCTCATGAGGAGTGAGGCTGGAGAGGCTGTCTGGAGGACGACCCACCCCTCTGTCTTCACCCCCCCACCTCCCCACCCCTATCCCCCCTGTCCCCCCTCCCAAAACCCCATCCATAACCCCCCCCTCATATACCAAACACGTCCCTATTCCTTCCTAACCCATCACCCCCCACCCTTCACAACCCCCCATTTCTCACCCTCCCCCCTTCTCCCCTACCCCCCTTAACAACCCCCTCCCCCCCACCCCATTCACCACTCCCGACGTCGTTTCGCAGCGGTTTCCAGAGAAAATATCCACACCTCTTCCCCCCCCCCCCTCACCACTCTTCCTCACTCTCCCCTCGGCCGCAAGCTACTCTCGGCCCTCCGGCCCCCTGGCCCCAAGGTCCAGGTCGACCCCGGGCTGAGAGAAAGCATTACCCTCTTAGTTGGTAAGCTCCATTTCCTGCAAGAAGAGGCCGGCTGGATTATATTCGCTAACGAAGATGCAAGAGTCTCACGCCCCTCTTCCTCCCTCCCCCTCTTTTCCCCGCCCTCTTCCCTGCCTTGTCCCTCCCCCCCTCTTCTCCTGCTCCCTATACCCCTATTTTTTTCCTTCTTGCGTCGATAATAAGGAAAAATAGTGTGTGGGTGGGGGTGAAAGGGAGGGGGGGTTGTAGGGATGGGGGCGTGGGGGTTGTATAGGTAGGGGTTATAGTGAGTGGGGGGGTGTAGAAGGTTTAATAGGGGGGGAGGGGTAAAGAGGGTGGGATTCTAGGGGGGGGGGGTTATTGAGGGTGGGGGCGCTGTTGAGGGTGAGGGGTTTGTAGGAGAGAATAGGGGGTTGTAGAGGGTGGGTGGTGGTTGGGGGGGGGGTGTTGTTGGAAAAAATAGGGGGTTGTAGGGTACTCATCAGGCAGCTGTTGTTGATATGGACGTATTTCTCGCAGGTTCAGTTGCAGAGTCAACATATCCTTGCAAGCAACCTCTTCTCTTTTCATCCTGTCATTACTCTTCCTCCTCCTCCTGCCCTTACTCTTCCTCCTCCTCCTGCCATTACTCTTCCTCGATTTCTTCCTCTGGCAGAGTGTAGTGTAAAGACTTGTAACCTCTAGTCAATACCCTTCTAGTCACCTTCAACCCTATCTCAACCCCCCATCAGATAACCTATTCGGTAACCCCCCCTATTAGATAACAGATATCTAACAATCTGTTAGATATGGCCAAAGAAGCTCAGCTCTATATCATGATATAAATGAACCACAAAACTGTGTGGGCTTCAAAATAAATAAATAATAGAATCTACTTTTATAAACAATAATCCAACTTGTAATATCTCCTCATCAGTGGTTACCAGATGTAATGAGCGATTATGTAACAATTATCCGATGCATAATCCAATGTATAATCCAGTTATTAACCCAACGTATATACCTCTACCCAAGGGCACCTGATTGGACGTCATAAAAGCAGTCAACCACAGTTATACCATCCTCGCTCACTGCTGAATAGGATCCCGGGGTTGGGATCGAAATATTGTGTACATTTCCTCATGTTTTCGAAATAGTGGGTTATTATTTTCATTGATTAGTGCACTGTTGCACTGTATAAGTGCAATATATATATATATATATATATATATATATATATATATATATATATATATATATATATATATATATATATATATATATACGTCCATTTTAATAAAACGGTTCCCAGGGAATTTCGTTAAAGGAAAAAGGAGGCTGTTGGCGAAGGACAAAGCCAGGCATGCACCAAACTTTATTGGGAAAATATATACAAAAATATAAGGGGCTGTGAGGAGCACACAGGGGTGAGGCATAGAGCACAGGGGGAGAGAGAGAGAGAGAGTGAGTCCACAGGAAATGAGACACAGGGGTGTGTGACACAGCACACCGAGCGTGGTATGAGTCCAGGTCCTGCCTGCCTGGTCCTTTACTTTCAAGACCGGCATATCTCTCAAACACCTTCGTTATCCATCATACAGGCTTCGCTAAATCTCGAGTGATATATCTGTGCATATTTTGCTGACCAGTAATGCCATGGACCTCGGAGCATGCCGAGTGAGGAAGCACTAATTGGGAGTGATTGGCTAATATTTATTCTTCTATCCTCGTACCAAGTGGATGGGCCACCATTCCTTCCCTTCCGTCCCATCCCTAATCCTTATCCTGACACCCCCCCCCCCCTTCCATGTGCTATTCAGTCGTAGTGGCTTGGCGCTTTCCCCTTGATAGTTCCCTCTCTTCGATCCTCGTATAAATGAATAATTTACTCGATACTTTTAACAATCAATTGTAAATGTTCCATTTTCTATCAAGTAAGTTGTTGTTTCAGTAAGACTTTGTCCCGCGGATAGAATTATAAATCAACCAACAGGGAGTTGAAAATCGTAATTAAGTTAAACTAGGAAGTCTAAGTTGAAGTCTGTGTCATTGATCTTCGACACTGTGCTCGGGAGGGTGATCAGAATACAGCCAAACTCATCAGCTTGTAGGAAACTAATCTCAGAATCTGGACAAGTCTCGAATCATTACTTCAAGAAAACTTATCTCAGTATCTAGACTGGTTTCGAATCATTGCTTCAAGGGAACTTATCTCAGTATCTAGACTGGTTTCGAATCATTGCTTCAAGGAAACTTATCTCAGTATCTGGACTGGTCTCGAATAATTGCTTCAAGGAAACTTATCTCAGTATCTAGACTGGTTTCGAATCATTGCTTCAAGGAAGCTTATCTCAGTATCTAGACTGGTTTCGAATCATTGCTTCAAGGAAGCTTATCTCAGTATCTAGACTGGTTTCGAATCATTGCTTCAAGGAAACTTATCTCAGTATCTAGACTGGTTTCGAATCATTACTTTAAGGAAGCTTATCTCAGTATCTAGACTGGTCTCGAATCATTGCTTCAAGGAAACTAATCTCAATATCTGGACAGATCTCCCATTATTGCAGCTGGTAAACTAATCTTCGAATTCGGTAGCCCTTATCAGACGCATTTAAACGCCACATTGTAAACAAACACTTATCAGATCAGATTTGTTTATCAGAAGACTTGGTAAATTTGCCCTCGAGAATCTACATAATTAAGACAGGGGCCAAGAATGGGAATCAGTGAGCAGTGACCTTTGACCCCTGCGACCTCAACTTTAACCCATGGATCTTCGCTTTGACCTTGTGACCTTCACTTTGACCCGAGTTTAATCAATAAGAAGACCAAAGGAACTTCAAGCTAGCTGTAGCCATTATAGTTAAGAAGTTGAATTCAATCTTCATGATTAAAGTATTTAGAACCCCCTTGACCTTTAACACTTGACCTTTGACTTTAACGACCCTTTACCGTTTACCCGTGACCTTTCACAGTGACCCTCTTACGTTAGGCTTAGACGAATGACCCTTAATTGTCTCTTGATGTCTTGAAACCTTTGCATTTCAACTTTCAAACTGGTTATATATCGTTAGTTCTTTGTTCAAACATTTTTCAGATTATTTTTATAGCATTTATCAAATGTTATCTCGCTAACAATTCTCAAGCATTTTCCAGCTAACATTTCTCAAGCAAGTTTCGCAAAATTATGGAAACAATCGTAAATGTGAGAAATTAGGATTGCAGGTTATAGGGAGAATGAGACTATGACCGTGGCTGTCTATATACACGTTTAAGCTGAACCTTTTGTTCAGTCTTTGCCATATTTCGTTCACGAAAGAATCCATGATGTTCTGACGCTCTTCCTCGCAAGTCTTCGGGCCAGAACGCATTCCACAGTGTGTTGACAAAGACTGAAAGTGACGAAAATAATGGTCGCTTGTCTTACTTACCTTAGACATTATGGCTTATCTAGTTACCCCTTTATGGTGGATTATCTACTTGTCACGTCCACGTTTGTCCTATCTACCTGCCTCGTGTCTGGTTGGCTCACCTACTTGCCTTGTACAGATGTGGCTTATCTACTTCTTCGTTCTTGGGTGGCAGGATCTTGTTTCTGGAGTTATCATCAACGTCATTTCAACTTAACAATATTGCAATCTCGAGAGCAATTGAGCGGTCATGGGACACCACTGCCAGACATTTCCCTAAGTACCCCGTTAAACGAGCCATTACAAAGTTTGTTTCTGCCAGCACGAGAGAGAGAGAGAGAGAGAGACTTCATAGTCCTAAACACCTTCCACTCTCCCAAACCACCAATGGCAAGGGGGTATATATTCTCTGACGGGCCAATCAGAGCCCATTTCTTGAGCCCACCCCTCCCCATATATATGGGGGGTGGATATATATGGCCCCTGTCCACATATATATATATATATATATATATATATATATATATATATATATATATATATATATATATATAATATATATTTATTGAGGGTTACAGGGACATAAATCTCGTGACTTTTATTTGCAAGGTGAATACTCTTCCCTCTGCAGCTCGTTGTAATATCTGAGCCCAGCATGTTTTCCCCTGAACAATCTTGTAATTATGTTTACACCCAGGTAAATAATTGGTGTCAAAAGGGGAACGAGTGAATGAACCGTGTCAAATGGTTGCATCCGTCAAAGGATTCAAGCCTAGCTCTTGTCATTGTCAAGACTAACAGATGGAGAGTGCGCTTACGCACGCACGCATACACGCACGCACGCACGCACACACACACACACACACACACACACACACACACACACACACACACACACACACACACACACACACACACACACACAGGTGTGGAAACTGTGTACCCAAATGAGCCACAGACACATGTGGTGGAGGCTAACTTCATACACAGGTTTAAATATAGATATGATAGAACCTAATAGGCTCGGGGACCTGTACATCAGCTGATTGAGCTGATTAACACTTGAGAGGCGGGACCAAAGAGCCGAAGATCAACCCTCCGCATGCACAACTAGGTAAGTACACACACACATATCCATACCAACATACTTACCGTCCCTTAGCACACCACTATGGCATCAATACCTTCATCCTGGCCTGGTTGCTAGAGTGACGGACTCGTATTTTCTCAGACTTTTGTTGGAATAAAAATTAATGAAATTAATTCGCACCTCAGTGTCGTGATCCAGAGAGGAAACGCCTGCTGAATATTAGACACGCACCCCTACTGTGAAGCTGGGTGAGGTATGTGTTGCAGCGTCACATCAGTGAATGGTACGCCTCAGTACCTTGCGTGCCCCCCATGCAGGGGACTTTCTTTTAGCAGTACCTTTGTCTGCATCAAGCACACGTCAATCTAGAACCAGAAACCCTCTATAATGCAGTTGCCCTCTACCCTAGAAATGTATTTGCAAAAAGGTGAAAGCCGACCACTGTGATGTGCATGATCTCCACTGCAGACTTCCCTACACCCTTGAGGAACATCGCCATCTTATAATCTTGCCACCCTCCTTCAAGATGCAGCATCTTTAAAGAAATTATCATTGATATCACATGCAGCAGAATCTCTCCGTTTCAGTTTTCATCTCAGAAGCTTTCTTTTACCTTATTAGTAGTAGTAATAAACTCCTATAATTCATCTTTCATCCCTCAAGTAGCAAGAGCATCCAGATATCACAAGCCCTCGTAAGGAACAGCAGCAGCAACAGAGAATTCTTCCTGAAGCCCGCAAGGATCAGTCTCATCCCAGAGGCCTTCCTTCCTTCTGTAAAAAAAGGTAGCTTCATCTCGGAACTCTTCCTTCGGCAAGGCGCGGCATTTTTCCAGGACCCTGCTTTCATCCTCCAAGACAGAGCAGCATCTTGAACACTCGCAGCATCCGAATCCTCTTTATCCCTGATCAGTCCTCATCTCTTTCAGAAGCTCAGCTGTTCCCCGCACGTCCCCAGAAATAATGGCTCACTTTGCCGGCGTCTCTTTGTGGCGCTTTTCTCCCTTGTGTCTCGCGGCGGCTTATAATGAGCTTCGTCTCAGGCATAAACCTTCCCCGTGCCGTCTTATCGACAAACAAATTTCCCCGCTATCCAAATCCTGCAGTGTGGGGTAAAAAGATCACATTTACATGCAGGCTGGAACCCATCTGTGCTTAATATATTGGTCCCGACTTCCCAACTTCAACAATAACCGTAATGATCCTATTTGGAGAGCGGCGAGCATCGAGCAGAGCTGACATAATGGTATCGGATGCGGCGCAAGGAGGGGATCCAGAATCCGTTTGTAAGGGATTTGGATCACAAGGAGTTGGGGAAGAAAACGGATTGACGGAATAAGTGATGCAACGGCTGACAATTTATTGCGTTATTATACGTCGCGGAGTTGAGGTGTATTTCTTTATGACGACGATAATCTGTTTTCCTCTCGTGCTGACGTTCTTGGGAGACTTTCTCACGCTTATACTTTTGGGGAGAATGGTTATGTTGGGGTCTCTATCTTGGTTGATCACTGTGGCCTGTTCTCCCCTATCTCGTCTACTCGTCCACTGGGACCACTTACCAGCCAGATACATCCACTCCTGGTTAGATGAATTGAAAATTGGAGGCTTGGGGTCGGTAGAATATAGTTGGATAGTAAATTCGAGGACCACTTGAGGATAGTGATGATTTTCGTGTGTTTGTATGAAGTAATTAAGATGTTTCGTCCTTGTGCCTTCTGATGTTAATTTTCCTGTCGGAGGCTGTTATCTACAACCTCTCAATAGACTGTGTGCTTCGAAACGGCACTCAACCCCTGTCCATCCTCAGGTTGGGCTCGTCCAAGCTACACCCAAACTCCCCAACCTATCCAATGGCTATCCAAGCTACGGCCGACCCCAACCCGTTAACAGGCCATAACCATACAAAATCTGGTCCACCTCAGAGATGGGTTCTTAAAGTGACATTCTGAATAACAATTAAATATATTTTAATATTATAAGTTTTAGTTTTGTGTATATATATAGACCTAGATTTTGTTATTTTTTTGATGTAAATAATTTGTATTTGACGTACCTGGATGGAAGCCATTTAGTAGACAGGTGCGTCTCGAACATAAGAAGATAGTGAAGCACCGTTCAAAACCTCAAACATAATCATTGATGGTGAATCGTGGGTAAAGTGTTTTATTTTTAATAAACCATCCACCAAACTCCTGTTTGTGAATTTAAAACACTATACATGTGACTCTTTAGTGATATTGTGTTTTAAACATTTACTCGAGCATTGCTTCGCTATCTTCCTGAGTTCGAACCCCACTTCTGTTTTTTTGACCCAAATGCTGCAAATACAGTTAATTGTCATCGATACTAAAACACCAATCCTAGCCTATCTTAGGTCAAACTATACACAAAATTATTATGTGTATTAATAATTAGATTCGAGAAAACACCGTTTTTGGTTACCCAATACATTATAAGTGATAATTGTTATTATAATAATATGATAAACATTATAATTGTCTCCGAGGGGTTAATCATAGCTTGGATGATCATAGTCTGAAGGGGTTAGTTAGGTTGTTTACAAATTTTGAAGTCAACTTGATTCAAAGATTTCAAACCCGTTCTCAAAATAATTAATGCTCCAAGCATCGCCTCAGCCGATCAATGAGGATGCAGGACTCGAATAGTCCATAACACCTGCATGGGCTCGAATAACCCATAACACCTGCATGGGCTCGAATAACCCATAAGACCTGCATGGCTTCGAATAGCCCATTAACACCCGTATGAACTTTCCCGAACCTGTTCCATTTTTCTAACTCGAACACAAGGAAGGTTTTCCTGAAATCTCTGTGACTGATTCGCTTCTCTAGTTTCTAATCAATGGCGCTCGTTCTTCTGTTGACATATACAGTACCAGGAACAGGTTGGGCTCCCCTTGTACTGGACCTTGTGGTACTCCACTCTTTACCTCTCCACTCCCAATGATACTCTGTTTCCTTCCTGGTAGGTACTTCCTCTCCCGTCACTTTTACACTCAAGATACATCAGGTAACGTCTTGTGGGAGACAGTATCAAATTATTGTTGACAGTGGAGGAGTATGCAGTTTGTCCATTCTCTCGTTTGCAGAACGTGCTTGTTGCAGAACTTGCTTGTTGCAGAACTTTCTTGTTGCAGAACTTGATTGTTGCAGAACTTGCTTGTTGCAGAACTTTATTGTTGCAGAACTTGCTTGTTGCAGAACTTGCTTGTTGCAGAACTTGCTTGTTGCAGAACTTGCTTGTTGCAGAACTTTCTTGTTGCAGAACTTGCTTGTTGCAGAACTTGTTTGTTGCAGAACTTGCTTGTTGCAGAACTTTCTTGTTGCAGAACTTGCTTGTTGCAGAACTTTATTGTTGCAGAACTTGCTTGTTGCAGAACTTGCTTGTTGCAGAACTTGCTTGTTGCAGAACTTGCTTGTTGCAGAACTTGTTTGTTGCAGAACTTGCTTGTTGCAGAACTTGCTTGTTGCAGAACTTTCTTGTTGCAGAACTTGCTTGTTGCAGAACTTGATTGTTGCAGAACTTTCTTGTTGCAGAACTTGCTTGTTGCAGAACTTGCTTGTTGCAGAACTTGATTGTTGCAGAACTTAAATAGGCTTTGAGACAAAATTCAGCAATTTTATGATTTTGTTTTGTTTACCTTGCTTCGGATCAGTCACTCTAACAACATGAAGGGGTGGGAATGGTGGTTAATTATCCTGCCTTGTTATCCAGCGGTTCTTATCTTCCCTATTCATTTTATATTGATACCGCGTTAACCATTCAGGATGCTCTGCAATTTTACAGCGTAGAGGTGGTTGGGGAGGGTGTAGGTGGTTTGGGGAGGATGTAGGTGGTTTGGGGAGGGTGTAGGTGATTTGGGGAGGGTGTAGGTGATTTGGGGAGGATGTAGGTGGTTTGGGGAGGGTGTAGGTGAT